CTAATATCCACAGCTAAAAACCTGGACGTCATTTATGACTCTGCTTTTTCTTTTACCACCCTGCCCACATCCAGTCATTCACCAAACCTATTGAGTCTGTCTCCCAAGTATCTTCAATGCTACCCCACCAATCTAGGGTACCGTAATCTTTTACATAGATGATTACAATAGCCCCCTGGTCTCCAATGTTTTCTGTTAAAAAGATTCTGTTACTTTTCCTGCCTTAATGGCTTCCTGTTAATTTTAAAAGAAATCTAAAGCAATGGTCTCCAAACTGGGATGATGCACAAGATAATCTGTTAGAGGTAGTAGAGGAATATTAGCCTTCTGTTTCTATTTATCTTTTTATCTAAAAAACAAAAACATTTACTCTGTACTAGTCATTCAGTCCCCTCTTGCTCTGTGTGTCAGATGGTCATTTGGTACTGGAGGTGTCTTGAGGAAAGCATGCTTTGTTCACTTTCTGCAAGTTATACAATACTGTAATTTGAATGCCTGTTTAAATGGATTTATGGATCATTTTCTAGTTTAATACTAACGAAACGGCTAAGTCTGAGGGGAGAATTTAAGGAGAAAATCAAGTATATACCTGTAAAGATGATCACATGGTAGTTTATTTTACAAAGGACATAGAATCTGTTCTCATAACTTCAAAAAAAATACCTTTATCCTGATTATAGAGTTCTAAAATTAAAAATTTTAAAAATTCAAATTCTTATTGTGAAGCATCTGTCTGCTATGACAGTCATTAAAAATCAGTTTGTCTTACAACTACCTCTTCAAATCTCTGTATCACAAAACATTAAAATAAGATCTTCAGAAATTATGAAGCATATCCAGTGAAACTTTTATTGAAAGATATTATCAATCATCAGTTTTTACCAAACACTTTTTAGCATAAATAATTAAAACAAATTTAAAGTCTCTTTCATTCCTTTATGTTGTATTTTTTGTGAAATATTTATTTTTATAATATGGTCATATTATAAATCATATTCATAGATATATAAACATTCATACTACCATGGGTATGTAATGAATAAAGTTTGGAGACTGTTTAAATTCTTTCATAAGATAGCTTTCAGGTCCCCTGCTTGCTTTTCCAGCTTCATTTTTCTGTTACACCTGTGTTTACATTTCACACTTTAGCCATATTGGACTTCTCCTGTTTTTCAAATGGGCCACATAATCTTTGCTTCCAGGTATTTGCACATTCTTAGTCCTCTTTTAAGTCTAAATTTAAACATATTCTGGCATAATGCTTCTCAAAGTGTGGTCCTTGAACTGTTACCAGTATCTTACAAGATAAGAACAGAATTTGAGAGTAAGCATTTAGATACTTCAGTTGCTATTTGATGTTATCATCACATCCAAGAACATGATCGGTAGATTCCTCTTTGAACAGGATTTAGACTGGTTCCTCAGTTGCTGTGACAAGTTGCATGTGGTATGAGCTGCATGGTAGTCATGTCTAGCAGGACCATGTTACAACTGTGATATTTTTTATTTAGTCATTTGTAACCAAAAAATGTATAAAAATTGAAGAAAATGTAAGCATTTATTTATTTTTAAAACTTGATTTCTAAAATATTGTGTTAATTTTAATCAGACTTGTTTTTTGTTTCATAAATAAAATGATAAAAAGTATATACATAAAAATAAAATAATAATTAAAAAGTAAAAGCTTTTCTTCTAAATTTCTACTTTTGTGTTAGCTAAATCTGAAAGTCAAATTTATATTACTTATTTTTAACCCTAGTTTACCCATGGCAAAACAAGCTTTAGTGGACTTTTTTGAAAAGATACACCTTCTGAACGTGACAGTACAGGTATTCCTCGGGTTACAAACGTCCGACTTGCTTACAACCGCTAGTTACCAACCAACCCCCATAAAGCCTATTATATTAAAAACTCGAGGTACATACAGTGGTTTATAATAACACACAGGTGCTATTTTGTGACACACATCAAAATATTATTATTATTACTATATTATGTTAAAGATGTTTTAGTGTATCTGGAAGTGTTTCTTTAGTGTTTTTTATGCATGGAAAGGTACGCTGTGTACTATATACTAAGACAAACATTTGACTAAGTGACATTAGATATGAGCCACACCTAACTGTTCTGACTTACCTAAGTGTTCTAACTTATGTACAAATTTGACTTAAAGACTGATTTAGGAACGGAACTCGTTTGTAATCTGGGGCTACCAAATGATGATGGAAGTGATTTCAAAGAGATGCAGAACGAAAGAGTTTTACTAGTTTTGTTGGGAAGCATTATTCCTCCTGTATTGAATTCAGTTTCAGCCATAATTTATGGGGAAGTGCTAAAACCGGTGCTCTGCTGCTGACTGAAAGGTCAGTGGTTTGAATTCACCAGCTGCTTCGTGAGAGAAAGATGTAGCAGTCTGCTCACGTAAAGATTTACAGCCTTGGAAACACTAAGGGTCGCTATGAGTCGGAATAGCCTGGACGACAGTGAGTTTTGGACTTCTTTCATTGAGAGTCTTGATATGTCAGCTGAACGTAACAGTATGCTTGCTATATATCAGATCACTTGCTTTGGGGATATAGTGAGCAGCCCAATAGAAGGGCCCACAGAGCAGACGAACTGAGGCCTCCAGGCAACAGCCAGTGAGGAACTGACGACTTTTGCCGTCAGCCATGTGAGTAAGCTTAGAAGCAGATTCTCTAGCCCAGTCAAGGCTTCAGGTGACTATAGCTCTGACTAACATCTTGACTAAAACCTCATGAGACACCCAGCCAGGGTGCTTCTAAATTACTGACCAACAGGAACTCAGATAATAAATGTGTGTTGTTTTATGCCAGTAAGTTTTGGGGTCATTTGTTACGTAGTAATAGATAACTAATACAAGAAGCAAGCTCATTTGTTACATTAAAAACTTTAAATATTGACATACATATGCTATTCAGAGTTTGTGAATGTGTTTAATATAGGGAATTTCTATTTCACTCATAACTTTTGATTAAATTAGGATCGTGGAATGACAAAGTGAGGAGTGCAGTAGCAGTTTTCTGTATTAATTGCCTGTATGCATACTTTCAATGAAAAATATGCAATTTTATTGAATTATTTTTATATGTTTTTTCTGATTACATTTATTGAAGTACAATTTTACGGGTTTCAGTCTAATAAAACATTTAGGCTTCTATTTTGTATGCTTATTTTTATTTTTTTTGTAGTTTATTTTTATTTTGTTTTACAAAAGTAGTGGTCCATGCGGAGATATATCGAACAATATCATTAATGTCACATGCAAGTAGAATTTTGCTGAAGATCATTTAAAAGCGGTTGCATCAGTACCTCAACAGCAAACGGCCAGAAATTCAAGCTGGATTCAGAAGAGGACATGGAACGAGGGATATTGTTGCTGATGTCAGATGGATTGTGGCTGAAAGCAGAGAATACCAGAAAGATGTTTATCTGTTTTTTATTGACTATGCAAAGGCATTCAGCTGTGTGGATCATGACAAATTACGGATAACATTGCGAAGAATGGGAATTCCAGAACGCTTAATGGTGCTCATGCAGAACCTGTACATAGACCAAAAGGCAGTTGCTTGAACAGAACAAGAGGATACTGTGTGGTTTAACATCAGGAAAGGTGTGTGTCAGGGTTGTACCCTTTCAGCGTACTTAATCTGTATACTGAGCAAGTAATCTGAGAAGCCGGACTGTATGAAGAAGAGTGGGCATCAGGATTGGAAGAAGACTCATAAACAACCTGTGATATGCAAGTGACACAATCTTGCTTGCTGTAAGTGAAGAGGACTTGAAGCACTTACTGATGAAGATCAAAGACTATAGCCTTCAGTTTGAATTACACCTCAACATAAAGAAAACAAAAATTCTCACAACTAGACCAATAAGCGGTATCATGATAAACGGAGAAAAGGTAGAAGTTGTCAAGGATTTTATTTTACTTGGATCCACAATCAATGCCCATGGGAGCGGCAATCAAGAAATTAAATGACATACTGCATTGGACAGATGTGCTGCAAGAGACCTCTTTAAAGTGTTGAAACGTGAAGATGTCACTTTGAGGACTACGGTGCACCTGACCCAAGCTATGATATTTTCAGTTGCCTCGTATACATGTGAAAGCTGGACAATGAATAAGGAGGACCGAAGAAAAATTGACACATTTGAATTATGGTGTTGGTGAAGAATATTGAATACATCATGGACTACCAGAAGAACAAGCAAGTCTGTCTTGGAAGAAGTACAGCCAGAGAGTGCTTCTTGGAAGCGAGGATGGTGAGACTGTCTCACATACTTTGGACATGTTAACCAGGGGGACCAGTCCCTGGAGAAGGACATCAAGCTTGATAAAGTAGAGGGTCAGCGAAAAAAAGGAAGACCCTTGACGAGATGAATTGATACATTGGCTGCAACAATGGGCTGAAACATAGCAATAATTGTGAAGATGGTGCAGGACTGGGCAGTGTTTCGTTCTGTTGTACATATGGTACTATGAGTCAGAAGTGATTTGATGGCATCTAACAACAACACTGGTCCATCATGGATTAATATTTAAACAGAAAAATGAGACAATGTTTATTCACCACAGATAATCTAGATTATATCCCCTGTCTTAGTTCTCATGATACCCTATACTTACCTTACATTATGGTTATATTGCTTTTTTATAATCGGTTAGATTCTCTGCTAAATGGAAACTTCCATGAAGGGCAGGGTCCATGTCTGTGTTTGCTGTTACATCTTTAGTACCTTCCACAGTGTCTGATACTTGGCACGTGCTCAGTAGATATTGTTTGAAAGAATTAATATTCCTTTTAAAACTTTTTCGTTGTGTTGGGATAATGATTAACTTTTGCAGTTGTCAGTAGTTGTCTACTATGACTATATCTCATGAGAGGAATGTTAATTGTTTAGGGTGAATAGAAAATATTCTTAGCATTTTTCTTACAGAATACTAAGAATTTTTATAAAACTTATTTTTTTCCCCATAGCACAACCACTTCCTCTGAAGAGGATACCTTGAGTCGATATCCCCGACCAGATAAAAGTGGATTCAGTAGATATAACAGGGATACAAATGCTTCAGGTAATTTGGTCTCAAGTAGCACATTGGAAAAGAAAATTGAAGATCTGGAAAAGGTATGAATTACAAATTATTTAAGATTTTCTGTAGAATTGTTATAAGAATTGTTTTCACTTTCACCGCTGCTCAGAAAGAAAAAGCATTGAAATTTACAGGGGAGAGAGTGCTGTAAAGTGGAAGAAGAATGAGGGACACTAGTGGGAGATATCGTTAATGTTAATCTGTATTTACATATATAGTCAAATAACCCATTGACTTCAAGTCAATTCTGACTTGTAGTGACCCTATAAGCAGAGTAGAACTGCCCCATAGGGTTTCCAAGGTTGCAATCTTTCGGAAGCAGACTGCCACATCTTTTTCACATGGAGTAGCTGGTGGATTTGAACCTCTGGCCTTTGGTTAACAGCTGAGTGCTTAACACTGTGCCATCAGGGCTCCTTATAGCAGCTTTAAATCACTGTCTTATGTGTGTAGTTTCTAGACACATAGTGGCTAGGCATTTTCTGATTTCCTTAATAATATTCCTATTCACGTCTGTTGATGTTAAAACTTTAGAAATGGAGCCAATTTTTGTATTCTTTGATATTTAATGGAGGCTCCCATTCTGCCAAGTGCAACCTCTAATATATCAGAACAGTCCTTGCCTTTGAAGTAGTTAGAAGTCTGAGGTGGGTGGCAATATTATATTTTCTGTAGAGATTGTCATTTGTAGACTTTCCTCTGGATTCTGAGTCAGGGCCACCTTTGGTGTTGGAACCAATTTTGTGTAAGAATAAGCCTGTTTAGAATTATCTTTGAGAATAACGCAAATGGGTGTTGGCATAAACTTGTTAACCATAAGAGTCTCAGTTTTCATAGTCATTCATCCCCTTAAATTGATAATGGTGCTGAATTACTTTCTAATTGCTGAAAATATGTTTTGTTTTACTGAATTGAAATTATTCTCTGTGATATAAAGGTTATAAATAGAAATTTATTTTATATAACATTATGATTATTTTTAGATCACTTCTAAGCTTTAACACTAGTTTCTACATGGAGCTGTTATTTGATTAAAAACTTTAGAGAATAGTCTAATAGTTTTCATAGAGGTTCCACAGAAAGGCAGCTGGAGTTCCACAAGAGTTTGGACTGCAGTAATGGGCAGCAGCTAATTAATGCAGATGACTTGCTGCTTTCTTTGAAGGGGTAACAGGAAAGGAGCCAAATTCTGTGCAAGCCGTTTTCAGCTTTGCCTCCCTTTTGTCCCCAAGATGGCTGGCCCAGCCCATGGCCCTGGATTCTGAATAAGATTTCTTTTAATAAGGTGTTGCATTGTTTAAACAAAATAAGTTTAAAAATCTGTAATCTAATCAAATTCCATCATTTTTTTCACTGTCAGTTAATAACAGAGCCTAAAGGAAAATTGAGGACCATTGTTTCTGTCTAGAGTTTTCTTGGGGGCAGTCTCCTTTCCTTAAGCTTTGTATATTTAATAGAAATTTTGAATTTCCTCACACAGGATATTATCAATATAATATGTGGCTCAGAACTAATGGTAGTGATAAGCTTAAAGAGGGTAAATCACTGAATTTTTTAGTAATTGCTGAAGACTTCTGTAAACCTGTATTTAATCAAAAATCTACCTTACAGCTTCTATATTCCCCTCATTCCCTGATTCTTCTCAGGGGTGGATTCTTCCTTCTGTCACCAAATATTTTAAAAAGAGTTCATTGAAAATTTTCAAGATACTTCACCAGCGTTGGCAGATGTATGCCATTTATAGAAAACTATGAACAACCAGTTACTTCCCAATTAATACTTTGTAATTATGTCTACCAGGAAGTAGTAAGAGAAAGGCAAGAAAACTTAAGACTTATGAGACTGATGCAAGATAAAGAGGAAATGATTGGAAAACTCAGAGAAGAAATTGATTTGTTAAATAGAGTAAGTATTTCACATATTTCAGTTTCATGGTTTCCTCTTTTGTTGGCAGTTGTATCAAAATGCATGAGAAATTATTTAATTGCATTACCCTGGTTTTTTGTTGTTGTTGTTAATAAAATAGTAATTTGTGGTAGTAAGAGCCATCATTTTATTTCATCAACTGATTTCCTGTGGCCAATTATCAGTTTTAATCACTTAATTTTATTCTTTTGCAGATTGATTGATGAATGGATTTGTTCTGTGCTTTATTAGAGTTGAGAGGTGACAGGTAGCTTGGTCACTACCATACATAAAAGGGCTTTGGCACAGAGTTGCCTCACTGAAGAATTAAAATTAATACTTTGTCTCCATAAGGAATTCCAGATGTTTTGAGGTCTATTTTCATCACTTTTACCCCCCAGTTACACTTCTAAATCGCCAACTTTAGGTTTAGCCTTATACCCCCCAGTCTGTGTATTATGCACCTTTGTAGATCTTTTGTTTTCAGCTCCAGAATTTATTTGCTGCTTAAGAAGCAGGTATTAATGCTAGGCCATACTTTACGTAATGGTGAGATGAGAAGAGATTCCAGAGTTTGGCTTTTTGGAGGGCTTTTAGAGAAAATGGAGGAAAGGAATAAGTTTGCTGCACAGAAAAAAGGAGCACATCACCTATCCAACCATAACTCTAACCAGGAAAGAAGAGAAAATAGAAATGTTTCATTATGTACAGACCCATTCTAATAAAACTCTAAGACATTAACTACAGGTTATTAGGAATTGTAAAAGTTGGAAACGAAGAAGGATCAGTAATTGGAAAAAATGGCCTTGGTGATAGAAACGATGCTGGAGATAGCCTGATAGAATTTTGCAAGACCAGTGACTTCTTCATTACAAATACCTTTTTTCAACAACATAAATGATGAACTATACCTATGGACCTCACCAGATAGAATAGACAGGAATCAAATTGACCACATCTGTGGAAAGAGACCATGGAAAAGCTCGATATCATCAGTCAGAACAAGGCCAGGAGCCAGCTGTGGAACAGACCATCAGTTGCTCATATACAAGTTCAAGTTGAAGCTGAAGAAAATTAGAGCAAGTCCACAAGAGCCAAAATACAACCTTGAGTATATCCTACCTGAATTTAGAGACTATCTCAAGAACAGATTTGACACATTGAATACCAATGACCAAAGACCAGATGAGCTGTGGGATGACATCAAGGACATCAGATGTGACGAAAGCAAAAGGTCATTAAAAAGACAGGGAAGAAAGAAAAGACCAAAACATATCAGAAGAGACTGTGAAACTTGATCTTGAACGAAGAGTAGCTAAATCAAGTGGAAAAAATGATGAAGGAAAAGAGCTGAACAGAAAATGACCAAGGGCAGCTCCAGAAGACAAAGTAAAGTATTACAATGACACATGCAAAAACCTGGAGGTAGAAAAACAGAAGAACACGCTCGGCATTTCTCAAGCTGAAAGAACTGAAGAAAAAATTCAAGCCTCGAATTAAATTATTGAAGGATTATATCAGCAAAATATTGTGCAATGCAGAAAGTATCAAAAGAAGATTGAAGGAATACAAAGAGTCACTGTACAGGAAAGAATTGGTCGATGTTCAGCCATTTCAGGAGGTAGCATAAGATCAAGAACTGATGGGAGGAAGAAGTCCAAGCTGCACTGAAGGCAGTGGCAATAAACAAGGCTTCAGGAATTGACAGCATACCAATTGAGATGTTTCAACAAATGGATGCAGCACTCAAGGTGCTCACTCATCTAAGCCCAGAATTTTAGAAGACAGCTTCCTGGCTGACTGGAACAGATCGATATTTGTGCCCTTCCAAAGAAAGGTGACTGAATAGAATGCAGAAATTATCAAACAATATCATTAATACCACATGCAAGTAAAATTTTGCTGAAAATCATTCAAAAGTGGTTGCAGCAGTACATCAGCAGAGAACTGCCAGAAGTTCAAACCGGATCCAGAAGAGGACATGTAATGAGGGATATCATTGCTGATGGCAGATGGATCTTCGCTGAAAGCAGAAATACCAGAAAGATGTTTACCTGTGTTTTATTGACTACGCAGCAGCATTTGACTGTGTGGATCATAACAAATTATGGATAACATTGCAAAGAATGGGAATTCCAGAACACTCAGTGGTGCTCATGCGGAACCTGTACATAGACCAAAAGGCAGTCGCTCAAACAGAACAAAGGAATCCTGCATGGTTTAAAATCAGAAAAGGTGTGTATCAGGGTTGTATCTTTTCACAATACTTATTCAATCTGTATGCTGAGCAAATAATCTGAGAAGCTGGCATCAAGATTGGAGGAAGACTTATTAACACCTGCGATATACAGATGACACAGCCTTACTTGCTGAAAGTGAAGAGGACTTGAAGCACTTACTGATGAAGATTAAAGACTACAGCCTAAGTATGGATTGCACCACAACATAAAACAAAAATCCTCAAACCAGACCAATAAGCAGCATCATGATGAACAGGAAAGATTGAAGTTGTCAAGGATTTCATTTTACTTGAATCCACAATCAATGGCCATGGAAGCAGCAAGCAAGAAATTAAATGATATGCTGCATTGGGTAGATGTGCTGCAAAAGACCTCTTTTAAGTGTTGAAATGCTAAGTGTCACTTTGAGGACTAAGGTGCACCTGCCCCAAGCCATGATACTTTTCAGTCTCCTCGTATGCATGCAAAAACTGGACAGTGAATAAGGAAGACTGAAGGATTGACACATTGGAATTATGGTGTTGGCGAAGAATATTTACGATGCCGTGGACAGCCAGAAGAACAAACATGTCTGTCTTGGAGGAAGTACACCAGAATGCTTGCTAAGGTAGAGGGTTGGTGAAAAAGAGGAAGGCCCTCGATAAGATTGATTGACACAGTGGCTGCAAGAGTGGGCTGAATCATAGCAGTGATTGTGAGGGTGTTGCAGGACCGGGCAGTGTTTCATTCTGTTGTACACAGAGTGAGTCAGAACTGACTTGATGGCACCTAGCAACATCAGTTAGGAAACTGAAGCTCAGTTGAAAAGTAACTTTCTCAAGGTCATATGTACTAATTACATAGTAACCGACTGAGCTGAGTATTTGACCTCAGATACTTGATAGCCTTAATTCTAAGTTCTTTCTACTGTTGTAGACTGCTTTTGTGTTTCAAAACACAGACATTCATATATTGGTGCTGGAATTTAATAAATTCTGCAAATATTTTTGATGTATTAGACGTGTCTTAGTCACTGTGGACATTAAAAAAGAATAATAAGACCCTTGCTTTTACAGAGTTTATAATTTGGTAATGACACGTGAATGTATTTTATCACTTAATTTTAACCTTAGGTAGATCTCAGTTATAGCAATTTTTGGAATCTTGTATTTTTATTTCAGTGGTTTATTTTCCCAACATCTTTCATGTAGTTTGTGAGTAAATGCAAATTTTAAAATTATTTACCTAACTGTTCGAAAGCAGTATACTAAATTTATCAGAATGCTGCTATTCTGTAGCACACTTACAATTCAGATTGATTGCATTCAAGTTTTAGTATTTTAAATTGCAAGGAAAAATCTGCAAATGTTTTCTTTTTCAAGCATTAGTAAATTGTCTACCTTCAAATAAGATTTCTTTAACTAAAATTTATAGTGGATTTTCTTAGTATTACCAAATGGTTGTATATATGGTAGTTGTACTAATATGGGGAACATAGAGCTGGAAAAGCATACGTTTAAAGCTAGAGGGTGATTACCTAGTTTAGTGGTTTTCAGGGGTTTTTTTTAGCTCTAGAATCTTTCCCACAAACGAAGTATCATAAAAAAGCTCAACATATAAATTGAACCAAATCAACTCTGTATGCTCCAGATCACCTCTCTTTTGTATGCCTCATTTCTGTCATCTCCCCAGATTCTCACCCCACGTGTATACCTGTTAAGGATCACACAAGGAGGTAGGAGTACATTCAGAACTTGTAATAGGATCTCTTAATGCCAGTTTGACTCTAAGTTGCAACTCAGGGCCGTTGAACCACAGCTGGCCTACATATGTGTTTTGTTAGCCCTCTATTTTGGGGGCTGGGGCAGGTGGGAATTTGTTTCTAACTAAAAAGTTATTTACAGTGATTAAAAATTGGGAGATTCACAATTAAAGAATGCTGATTTCTGACGTCTGTTGAAAAACGGAAAGATCTGGCAACAGTTGGCCCTCATTTGCCCTTGGTAACAATGAGGAGTTGAGTAGTGTCTCCTCTCTTCACGTAGGGCATATTCCATGTAAAGTTCTTTCCAGAATTTGCTTCGTTTCAAGATTAATAGTTTAATTTGTATGAGTTATGTTAGAATGCATATTTTTAAAAATGTTTTTATCTGCTTCAGAATATTGGTCTTAAGTATTTTAAAATCTCATATATTATTTTCCTTTTTTCCCTTAAGGACCTAGATGACATTGAAGATGAAAATGAACAACTAAAGCAGGAAAATAAAACTCTTTTGAAAGTTGTTGGCCAGCTGACAAGGTAGAAGATTCAAGGCCCAGTGTGGAAAAAAAAATTTAAACTACTGATTGAATGTTATGGTCAATGCTAGGGTAATATTCCTGTGCTGAAATACATTGAAATAACTAAGTGTGTATATTTATTTCTAGAAAGCTGATGGATGTTTATATTCAAAATATTTCTTTTCATAATTAGTTTCAAACAGAGTATCCACCTTTTATTTCACAAATAAGTAACATCTTTTCAGTTATTAAAAGGATAGGTCATGCCTTTTATGGTTTTGTGTGGTATTCAAATAATATATGGTTTAAAGTCACAACATTTAAATATATTTTATCTATGGTAGCACATTTTCTCCCTAAAGCAATATACATAGTCTTTGTTTACATGAATCCAGGTGTTTTGGAGGAGTTACCTGCAAATACCTTATTACTGATGTGTACAACCTTTTATGTGTTGATGACTTACTCAGCAGAGTCTTTGTCTACTGTCATTTATTCTTTCAACTTACTTTAAGTGATTTAGAGTCATAGAATCGCACTATTTTGTATAACAGTTATCTTTTTAAAGGAAAGCTATTAGAAAAAGTCACTTAATACCATGTACTAGTTGGCTAAATATAAATTTCAAAGAATACTTGAATTGTGCTATAGTAAATGAAAATCTACTATTTTGTATTTGAATATTAAAATCACTTTAACTTTTGAAAAACAAATAATTGTAATTTTAATGTAAAATTTCTTATGTAGGTACTAATTTTTTTTTTAATGTTCTAAGGTTTATTAGTGCACATGGAATATTTAAAAAGTTGGTTATTACTTCAGATCTGGAAAATGTGTACAATTTCAGTGTATAAAGAAAAATTCATATTGTTGATGATCATATTATGCATATTAACATATGCATTAAAAATCAAAACCAAAATATTTATACACACTTAAAGCATTTATGCTTATATCAGTAAAACAGTACATAATCAGAAATAGTACTAAAATACTTTGCCTGATTTCAAACGTTGAGAATAACGCTATGACAGTTATTTTCACTTATCTGAGAGATTATTACCCTACCCCAAATTTAAGTAATTTTCTTCCTAACAATGGAATTTTTTAAACAATTATTTTTGAGGATTTATAAAAGTTTTCTCTTCTATTAAATATCATTAGCATTTATGGTTGTTTTATTTTATATTACATTTTCATATTGAGTAAGAACCCACCTTTAAAATACATTAACATTAAAAAATGTCTGCCTGGTGGTCGAATCTTAAATCATGTACTGATATCGTCTTATCCAATTAATGTACATAAGTGGCTTGAAATTATTAAAATCCATTTTGGGTACCCTACTGACTCTTTTCCTTCACTTACCATGCCCATTCTTTGTTCACCATTAGGAAAACAGGAAAGGTGAGTCACTTTGAAAAAATGTGTAATAAATAAGTATCTGTCGATGAATTCTAGAACTCTCTGTAGTTACCTGGGCCCACCCCTCCCCATCTTTTCCGTTCAGAAGTTTCAAGCTTGGCTGATCATCAGAATCACTTGGGGTGCTTGAAAAGAATTCTCTGACTGTAGCTCTTAGATAGGTTTAGATTGAGAACCTGGAATCTAGAATTTTTAAAGTTAACATCTGATGATTCTTTTCATCACCTAGATTTGGAAAAAACTGCTGTTACCTCTTTCCTCCTGTATTTTCTATTGGAGGCCCAGGAATTAACATAATTTTAGCTATTAGCATTTTTTCCCCCTTTTGAGTTTATTTAATAAATAACCTGTTCCCAGGGCAGTTTTCATATGTTCACATATATATGTACTGCTCACCAAGAGTTCAGTGTTAGATTACCAAACCTGGTATAGCTGGCAAAACTACTGCGTAAGAGCTTCCTTCTTAAAAACTATTATGCAGCCTGGGACCAGTGATCTGCCACCCAAATGTGTGAAGCAGCATGCCGCACTCAGTGACTCCCTTGGCTGTAAGGTACTCATCTCCTTTTAATAACGAAGTTTTAGACTTGTCAGTATTGCCTAATTTTCCATTCACGCTTTGGATGTTGTAGAAATGCTGCCATTATCTAACCTTAAAAGTATATTAACATATTGGTTTTTCAGTTACAGAGAAAAAAGACAGAATTATTTTGAATTTTCTGTTTAATCCATATATAGGTAAAGGAATATTTCATTTTACTTTTTTAAAATCACACTAAAGTCTGGACTGTTTTTAAAATTTTCTTCTTCAGTTTACTGGGAACATTTCCAGCAGTGATTTTTGCTTTAACATAAAGATGCCTAGTGCAAATACGGAAAACATGATAACTGAGGTGAAAGCATTTCACGTGCCATCCTCCGCCCCCTCCCTAATTTGTGCATTTATGTCACATAGATTTTACACTGAATATTGGAAAAATGAGGTAAAATCTGGTACAGTTTCTCCTTAAGGTTTATAAAAGTGTTGAGATTTTTAAAAGGTAACTGAAATGAATAACCACTACCTTAGAAAATGTGGCTGTTGTCAGTAAAGTGCTAGTGTTTGTGAAATTGTTAGTTCTGTTTAGAAATATTTTTTCTTATATATCCTGGGAATTTGTGGCATAATAAAACACATCTAAAGTTCTAATGTGTTCATGAAGTTAGCGCTGAACATTCTCATGTTGTATGTGAATCATTCCCAATATGTAACTGTAAAGCTTGACTTTTGCATTGGAACTATGCTCTAATAAATAAAGAACATCCCATTTATTAGAATTGTAAGTTATATTACTTACCTGAGAATTAGTGTGACACTTTTATATTCTTGTGCCATTAAACTGAAAGCACTATACCAATAGCAGACAACTAATATTTTGCTTATCAGGTGTACCAGACTGTTGTTAAGTTTTCTCCTTGGCTTATAAAAGTTGATTGTTTCACTCTCAGTTTAAAGACTTGAACCATAGCCCGAGAAAACCTGAGCCCATTTTTTTTTATTTTGGTTAACTAGAATCTCATAGTACGTTAAAGCTAAACCTGTAGCCCTCCAAAAAGTGAGTGTAGGAGAGAATATGTATTGGTGGGGATGGGGCGGGGGGGCGGTGTGTGAAATTTTCAGACCTATTCCTTCAGCAAATATTTATTAAGTCATCTGGGTATATAATACTATTATAGATGTTTAAAGGAAATAGGCATGGACCAACCCTTCCTTCTAGTAATGTATGATCTGTGTAGTGTATGTCAGTAGCACAAAGTGCAGTCCGATTAGCATTAGCCTGTCTAATCTGAATATCTCACTCAAAAGGCTTTAAAAAAATTCTTTTTTAAGTTATACTCATTGTCTTTTAGGTCTGGTTAATAGGTACTGTTTGATTTGCTGCAGCATTTATTGAAAAGCCTCTTGCATTTTGGGAGGTACCTTATCATACTTTTTTAGATAATTATTTATGCATTAGGAAAAGAACATTTTTAAGGAGTTTATGGCAGTAATAATGTAAAAAGAATTTAATGTATGTCAGATACACCAACCTGTTGATGGCATTTAAATATGATTTTGAGTTAGTATTTGTATATGCATTATTGGTTTGTTCCTAAGTATTTAATTCTACTGTAATCAGCAAACATATTGGCAGTTATTCTGGTAATAATAGAATATTAGTGATGATCACTTGGTGGAAATGTATTACATACTGATGTTTGTTTTGTTTTGTTTTCTCTTTTCTCTAGATACCTAATAGAGTATTTTCTTTGGCAAACTTGTTTCTTGAAAGATTTGCCAGTGCTATTTAGGGTTTTTATTATTATGTTTTTCTTCTAAATTTAAGCAGCTGCTGCTGCTACCAGCAAAGACCATATGAAAGTTAAAACGTACTGCTTGTTTGAAAAATTGGCTAATTCAAATAATCCAAATATTTATGGGGAAACATTTACATAATGTATTGAACACATTAATATTGTGTAGACAGCTTTCATCATTGCTGTTGCATAGATTCTTGTTGCAGGACAGTCTTTACACAGATTAACTGTTAATGTACTTTGCATGTAAAATAATAGAGTCTCTCAGTAGAAAAGTAAATTTTCATTTATTTTTCAACACTAGTTAATAGATTTTTCCTTCTGTACTATCACTAAACTCCTGACCATGAGTTTTGTTTTTGAAGTTGAAGGATGATGCTAATATTTTAATTGGTTTGTGTGCCTCATGCTGGCACAGTATGCGTTGCTTTTAAATTCTTTATTTGGTATATTATTTTAGAAGAAATGATGTTTTAAGAAACAGAAATAACAGAGTTGATGAGATCTGAATATATGGAGCTTCTTGAATAAGTAAGGAAGTGCATACATGTTCAGCATGACTGAAAATTTTCTGTTTGTGTTTTAAAACTGCATGAATAGTTTTTAAATTCAAAATTGGAACTGTTATAAACTAAATCTCATGGTGTTGAAAGAATTTCAGGCCCTTAGTTTGAAAAAGATAAGTAGGGGTCTGGGAGTGTAAAAATCCAGCTTTTTTGTTTCTTTAGTAAATGGTTTACATAACCTTTTGTCTAATGTGTCATTCTTCATAAACCTACAAAAGCTAATCAGTCTTCCTTACTTTCAGAACTCTAAATTCATCTTCTCAGTGATGTCATACATGTCTAACAAGTGAACAAGCATTCTTCAGTCAGTCTATTTACATAATGTCTCAAGTCCTTAATATAAGAGCACACTCCATTAGCAAGCCTATTGAAAAAATTTTGCAAGGTCCCACCACAGTCTTAATTGAAAGCGGACTCTTTATCTTAGATTTCCGTCAAATCTCTTTTTTTTTCTTTCTGGATACATTTCCCACTTTTTATGTGTGTACACGTGCACATATGTCTATCAGCAGTTGTAAAACTATCTACATATTTTTTTAATCTCATTCCTCCAGTTTCTCTTCTTCACCTCTACAAGAGGTTACCTTTTCTTCCTGGTCAGCTTTTTGGAAACAATTATGCCGTATTGATCCTTCTCATTAAAGGAATAGGACTGGTAATAGTATCCTTTACAATACATTTATTTTGATGTCTGACCAGACGAGGGTGAAAAGGAAACTAGAAAGCAAAATTGCTCTTAATCTTGGACCTAAAGTACAGTTATATTCTTGCTTTCAAAAAACTGTACCTGAATCAAAGTACTTTTTTTTTATATTTCCCATACAAAAATTTATACATACATTGTTATGTGACTCTAATTGTTCTCCCCA